GCGAATTCCGCTAAGCCAACAGCCAGCAGCTTATCATCTCGGCCGACTACCAGTCTTCCCTAACATTGATCAGATTTTGACCCCAACCCCCCACCCCCTCCCCTGACAACCGTTCTATTTTTCTACCAACCCGCAGAGTTTATTTATCAAGTATTATTAACTTTTAATGTCCACATTAACTCAAAGATATTTTAACGAAAAATGCACAAAAACATTCTTTCTTGTGAAAATTTAGTAGTAAAACACGCATTCTTTCGAATACTATACTTCAACGGAGCGTCTATTTAGGCATTGTTTATAAATATTTTCTCATTATCGAATAATTTTGAGTCCGATCTACCTTTGTATTTAAGCTGAGAATTTTCAGGACAAAAACTCTGCCGTGGGCAGCAAATGATTCTCATAAATTCTTGCAATGGATGTTGACTTTATCGTGTGCTTCATGAAGGGCATTAAGGAATGGACAGAGGAGAGGTCTTTAACAGTCTCATAATTACAACACTTTTTACAACCGAAGGGTAGCCTTTTTTCGAGTAAGGACGAAGTACTTGACTGTAAACTATATGCCACAAGTGATATATTTCAGGGAATTTTTTAACTTTGTGAAAGTCCACAGAAGGGGTCGTGCTGCTTAAGCAGTTATTATTTTTTTATACAGATAAGTTTTTGCAGACGACCGAAAAGAACTGCATTCAAAAGCCGGCACCCTAGCGTGTGATTATTAACCTTACAATCCAAGTTAAGTAGCATTTCCTTGTCAAAAACACATTGCAGAATTTCAGTTAGTATTGCATAAGACAGGTCGCTGACTGTAGGTCTTTCTAGCACTGCCACGCCTTAACAGTCCCGTCTCAAAACGTTATCTGTCATATTTACCTTCTGAACTCTGTTAAGTATATTTCGGATAAGAAAGATGATGTATTTAAAGAGGTCACAATTACCATCCAAGGACAGTCCACCAGAAGACGTTGTGACTTTACCTATTTATGGACAGGCCTTAAAACTACAGGGTGTCCCAAAAATGTATGCACATTTAAGTAATTGTAAACTCGGTGTTGATTATTATTTTATTATTCCAAAAATGTAAAATATTCACAAATATCATTTTATTGTTTTTTGCACTGCATGCTCTCAAAATTAAGTCCATTTCTGCATTTTCTATACATTCTTCTACATACCACACGCAATACTGTACTCTTCAGTCTAGATCATCGTTATTGAGAGCATGGACTAATCTTGGGATATAACTTTTTCAATGACAACGTTGCACAATGCGATGCAGTGTTAAAACAATTAAATGATACTTGTGAATATATTTAAATGTTTGAAATAATAAAATTATAGTAAAACGAATTTTACAGTTAGTTAAGATGTGTATACATTTTTCTGGGACACCCAGTATATTCACTCTAACAGGGAAACCAGTCCAGCCAACATCCCCCAGTGTATAGAGGCCCGATATTTAATTTTTAAAAAGGATCCTGTCGACCGTAATACTCGTGACGAGAGCCTACCTCCCTTGTTGGTACTCATTGTCCCTTTCGAAACAAGAGACCATGAAGATGACAGGCTACGTACATTCCCACCGGTCTGCTCAGGCATTTATGTAGCTAACGCGTAGCGCGCCTCATCTGCACTGCACGTACTTGACCACATTGATGCCGTTTCTAACAAACGACACTCACC